TCTTTATGTACGTGTCTGATTTTTGCTATTTTTTCTCAGTTGATATTCGATTTTCATTATATATATATATATATATATATATATATATATATATATATATATATATATATATATATATCGAAAGCGTGTGTTTCTGGTGTAGGAGTCAACACTGTCAGTTTCTCACCTTAATCTGATCACAGTTCTTCAAGTTAATCCTTCAGCCGCTTGTGCATCTCCCAAAGAGATTAATGCAAATGGAGGGAAAGGAAAGCGGCCCTTTCCTTTTCGTTTTTTAGAGATAATACTGAGGGTTTTTTTTACGGATACGTATATCTTTACAAAAACACACATATATATAAATATAAATATAAAAGTGAACATTGAAAACAACACTCAGGGGCGACAGGCTGTTTCATGCTAGACGCAATCGTCAGGCGGCCTGACGATTGCGTCTAGCATAAAACAGCCTGTCGCCTCTGAGTGTTGACTTCATTGTTCACTTTTATATTTAAATTTACATACGCTCTGTCTCTGATATTGAGCACTTTATCCCATAAATATTGCACTCCTTAAAACTGTCTTTCGGTGTCGTTGAAATGCGAGAAAGGAAATGTAGACAAGTGGACCAGAACGACCCCGGATGAAGACAAATAAAGTATAATATTTTTATCGCACTTCTTTCCCTTTTTGACTTTCGATGCTGTAGCGGGATAAAATGGATGTGCTTTGAGGAACCCTTATTACCTGGCCGCCTAACGATACCTCACGGTCGAAACCAAAGTAATACGGTAGGATATAGTGTTTTACTTTTTTTATTCTATTAAATTCTGTATTTTTCTTTTTCTGAGAATGCGTTGTTTTTTGGGCACGGTAATTTTTCCGGCCTTTTCACATATATTTTTATTTTTTGTTTTATACATACATACATACATACATACATGCATACATATATATATATATATATATAGTCTTAAGATGTGCTTTATTTATGGGATAAAGTGCTCAATATCCGAGATAGAGCGTGTGTAAATATAAAAGTGAACATAGAAGTCAACATTTAGAGGCGACAGTCTGTTTTATGTTAGATGAAATCGTCAGGCCTGACGATTGCATCTAGCATGAAACAGACTGTCGCCTCGAAGTGTTGACTTCGTTGTTCACTTATATATATATATATATATATATATATATATATATATATATATATATATGGGAGAATAAGATATATAAATTTCTAAATCTCAGAACAATATTAGGCAATTGAAAGACAAAGAGTAAAAAATGTCTAATCTGGAAAGTGAGGATTGTTGTGCAACACCAGTTCGCCTATTCTGACTCTCTTAAATATAAAGTATTTCGGAAGTAGTTAAATATATTCTGTAACGATAGAATAAGTCGTCCATCTTTACATGATTTTTAGCAAAGCATCATATGTATGAGTTCCACTTGAGTTCTGGAGTGAACTTGGGACCCAACAGACATTGAAAGCATGACGCATCATTGAGAGAGGAATCCTTCCTCGTAACTGCGGAAAACTCAGTGTCTGACTAGTGCTGATAAAACGGTAGTCGTTTAGATGTTTTAGGTATAATTTTGTAAATTATCACACTTACATATGTGTTGTTATGACTTCCTTTGGTAGATTGATAGAAACAATTAAGGTTATTATTCGGGATATGCCGAAATAAAATTGGTAAAATAAACATAATTTTTTTCATGCTCAAGGTTCGGCGGAAAGCAAGAAGCCAGGCGAAAGATCCACAGGTGAGAAGTGCGAGAAAGAAGCTTTTAGCATAGAACACGGTTACAGCTAGCCATTTTGAGTGTAAATTGATGAGACGTTTTTGCCAATCTAGTACGGTGCTTAAATTCATAAATTCTAAGTAGCATAGCGGAGGGTTTAACGGAACAATTACCATGAAGCTAATTATAGAAAAGACACAGGGAAGATACATTAAGTCGGTGGGAATGAGACTGAAGCCGGAATACCAGGTCAATACCAGGAACATTGCAGATTCTTTGGATTTTATCAAGACTCTCTAAATATAAATAGCAACTGCAGCCGACTATATGTGGCAGCAATATTCAGAGCATGGACGAATGGTAGACTTATAAAAATGTAAAATAGTTTCCGGATAGAAAAACTGACTGGCATACAATGAAATGAAATGAAATCAAAGTGAACTAATATTGGTGTGCAAACATTCAAGAAACTACTATTGTCATAGTTAGGATCTGGCTGAAAAAAAAATACTTGATTATAAAAACAAATACGAAAATTTATAACGCTCTATAGAGTAACTGATATATTCTGGGAAGAATTGGTTACATATGCACTGTAGTAGCTGGTCTGTGAGTTTGAACCTTTTTAATTCCTTATATCTTAATACTTTACATGTTATTCTGAGTTATTTTCAGAATGTTATCAGAACGAGTAACAAAAATACAGCTAATCCTATATCCGTGTTTCATCGATTACGCACAAGCAGTCGATAAAATAAAAAAAAAAGGAAGAACTTTTTTGAAATGTTAAAAACCAAACAAACTTGATCTTGTGACACAACCAGACCTTCAAACCTTTCCGTGTTCTTGATAGACAGACTCCCATGAGTGTCCACGTCTAATTTGATTTCTGGTTCCACCGGATTCGACCGGGGAAGATGTTACCCAAAATACACCATAGCCGTTATTGGCCTTACACAGTTACAGTGACATATGCATATCGCTGTTAAATATAAAATGTTTGGCCATTTAGTAAAAAAACGCAATTTTTCATCATAATATGATCCCGTCATCAGCAAAGTGGCTGAATTATCACTTGAATTTGATCTTGAATTTCTTTAATTAAATATTGACTTCTCAGAACTCTGAATTAGCATTTAAACGATTCAAACCCGTATTCAAGTATGACACCTACATAATAATAATGCTCCATTGACTTTTTTTAATAGAGAAGCATTTATTAAAGGGAATTGAAAAGGAAGGAGATTATTTTGAAAATAAATATTTTTTTTAATTATTAAGCTACGCACACGCACCTGTTGCGATATTTCCATACGCATTACGGTTTCGATAAATATTGAATTCTGCATTTTACAAGGGGCTGCTGAAATAGGCATAATGACATTAAACAATAATCTATTCTTAATTGTAATATATGTAACTTTAAATGTACACTGGCCTCGGGAGGGAAAGCAGGAACGTTCTTTGGTGAAATAAAGGTAGGGGGATAATTCAATGGCAAAGTGGGGAGATTCTGGCTGTCTGCCGTAAGAATTATTAGGTTGGTGCAAAAATAATGACGTAAGAATGTACTAGATTTTACAAAATTTCCAATGCTGAAATTTAGCCCCAGTCGAAAATAGAAACCTAACTTTCTTTATTGAAAGTATTGTGTTAATATAATTCAGGTAAATTTTATTTTTTACTTTTTTTTTTGTTGTTTATCTGTGTTGTAGAGTAGTTTTCACAGTGGAGGCTTGTATTTCGCTGAGTCGGTCCTAAAAAGGTTCGACGTACAAAACGTTAGGACCTTGTTATAATAGTTAATGACGCAGCAATCTAGTTGTGGTGGTTGATACTTTAATGCCCGACATCGACTGACTCTCCAACTCACTGAGCCCCCTGGCGACTGCTACTACTACTACTACTTATTATATGTGGGAGAGTCTATTAACAATAGAATAGGTATGTTCCGGTATAACAATCTGCTATCTCCATTAAAAATTAACAAATATTTCGGTTACAGAAGTGTGCATTTCTTTATCCTATACGAAACGAATTCCGGGATGAAGAGCTATCATTATTTTCACGATTTCATTGAGGATTATTGTCCTCGTCTTTGTTGTTGTTATCACAACGTTTCGGACGTCATGCCCTTCGGACTTCATCAGGTTTATGTCGATCAGGGTAATGTAGAGAGAATTCCGAATTAAACCCTTTATTTAATATACAGTGGTTGACTGTTCTCGATATCTCGTATCGTTCTAATTTTTGGTACAACTCAGCTATTGCATGCCCTCTTTCAACTAGCTCCTTATACACACTGCTCGGCCCAGGAATTGAACTCACAACCATTGTACGTAAAAATTAATGAATCACAGATTGTATGTCTTGTGGAATAATGGTTATTTTCTAAGTGTACATTAGATGTGGCTCAAGGCCGAAAGAATGGGACACCTCGTAAGGATCGAAGTTACTTTTCAGTCGTAACTGATCTAGTGAGACAAGTTTGCTAACCATTACGACAAAGATGAGGAAAATAGTTCCAAGGTAAGTAGCAAAAATACAGATTCCCTTGATTCATCCTCATAAAATGAAAGTTTGCTTAACTTTTGGAATCATCATACGCGAATCTTTAATGTTTAGATATCAACTTTTGGTAAATATAACATGCTATTCCTTGAAAAGCAATTCAGGTAAAAAAAAAAGAAAAAAGAGCCAAGTATCCCCCACCCAGTTCTATGTTAATACTTAAGAGAAATAACCTTGTATTGTTTTATAGCGCAAATATTGAAATCGCTTTATTTTTTATTCATTGGTTTTTATATAATAACAAACTGTAGTCTGTTATTGCTATCGTTTTTAAGGAAATGAATGCAAGAAGATTTATCATTCGTTGGACAAAAAAAATCAATAATCATTTTCAACTGGTGAGATGAGGATTCTGACACAGGGAACAATAATCAATGGTCAGTACACACCAATATACTCACATATATATGAATTGTTATATATATATATATATATATATATATATGTGTGTGTGTGTGTGTGTGTGTGTGTAGTGTGTATGTGTGTGTGTGCGTGTACGTATATATATATTTAAAACTGACGTGGGAACATGTATATGCACAAAAAAAATATATATATATATATATATATATATATATATATATATATATATATATATATATATGTATGTATCTATGTATGTATGTATGTATGCCTTTATATATTGTATATGTACGTCTGAAAGTGGATATTAAAAATATGAAAAGGAACAAAAGTGAAAAAAATTAAAGAGAAAAACGACAAAGGAAAAGAATACAGCGAAAAAACAAGCGGAAAAAAACGAAGTAAAAGAAAATAACAGAATAAAGAAAAAAACAAAAGAAAAACGAAAGAAAAACGAAAGAAATCTGAAGAAAATAAAGAAAAAAGCAGTGGAAAAATTGACAGAAGAAGTAAATGAAGAAAGAAAATAATATAAAAAAGAAAACAATGAATGAAAAAAGTAAAGAAAAACAAAAATATGTAGAAAATAAAATAAAACGGAAGACAAACGAAATCTAATATAAAAAAAAGAAGAAAACGGGGAATGAGAAAGCAAAAAACAAACACTAAACAAAAGAAAGTAACGTAAATAGAGTATAAAAAAGCATGAAATGAAGAACAGTATAATAAATAGGCAAAGTAAGAAAAAAAACAAGCAAACAAGAGGAGAAAAAATATTTTTTTTTAAATAGATGATTCGAAAAAAAAATAGCAATAAAAAAAGAAAACGAGAAACCAAAAGAAAGAACACTTGAAAAGAGAATACAAAATTAATGACAAAAAAAAATCATAGGCCGAGAGCAAAACAAATGAAAGACGACGGAAAATTACAAAAATTGTGCATATAAACAAAGAAAATAAAGGGTCAGGGATGAAAATAAAGAAGAAAAAAAAAGGTATCTCTAAAAACATTTTCAGAAAAACGACCAAAATGAATGGTGGCAAAGCAATACATGGGATTTGGACAGACACCAAATGTTTACAATCACATTTCTACAGTGTTGTGCTTTTTCCTACTTTTGTAATTATGCTGACTCATCAAAGAAAGCATTTTAAAAAATATATAGCATATATTCAAATTCGTGATTATGCAAATAAACATAGCTTTTCAAATGATGTATGATTCTTACCATCACTAAAATGTCTATTCATGTTTGAGACTATTTTCCGTTTACTTTTTCTCATGAACTTGTGCCTGGATAATAAGCAAGCGTCCGACATCAATAAGAAAAATCGAAAAAGAAACACATTACTATTGTCTCTGACTATTGCTGTTTTGCAAAGCAAAATTATTTGGGTGCAAGCAATACAAAATCTACAGCATGCCTTTAAAATGCAAATCTGTGAGCAGATTCAATAATCAAAACAGAAAATAACACTACATTTACATTCGAACTAACATCCACTTCTTTGCTGTTATCAACGTTTCGTCTGTTGTGCTTTCTGGCCTTCTTCAGGGAATTTCGTGCTGAACCCTTTACTTTGTATATTTTTCTCGTTCCGATGCCAATGTATAGGGATATTTTGACCTGTTCTTTTTTTTTAGTTCTGTTCAGTTATTGCACGCCTTGTTTCCAGTGAGTCCACATCAATGCTACCAATCCAGGGGTAGCACAATTACCTTTCCGCTAAACTCACGAATAGACGCTTTAATCCACTAGGCTATAGACGACATATCCCGAGAAATCAGCTCAAAATTTTATGAAAGTTAACCGATTTGACAGACACGTTAAGATGGCTGGCGAGTACAACGGTTGAAAAACTGTGATGGTGATAATGAAGAAGAGGGTATTTGTCCGAATTAGTGTGACTAATGATAAATCTTTATCTGGAATTCAGATAGAAACAATTTATTGCTTGTAAAGAAATTATAAAACAGAAACCAGGAAAAATAGGAATATCATTTGCCTTTAAAAAATAATCTATTTTCCTTATATATTGTTCTTTTCGGAGGTTCATTTGATATCCAAAATTTCTGTGTATATATGTTCTCGATGGACTTATTCAACCTATACAGTGAGACTATTATGAAAGAGTTAGAATCCTACCAGCAGTCATTATTGGTGTCCACAATCTTAACGACCTAAGATATGCAGAAGACACAGTTTTGATAGCAGACACAGAAAGGAAACTACAAGATCTAGAGAACTCCGGAGTAAAGCGAGACGAAATAACTAACCATCAATTGCCAGAACGAAAAGTTGTCAGAAAAAAAAAACACCACAACATGTAAATTAGAATTTGGAGTTGCCAATATCAAAGAAGAATTTAAATATTTGCGATCTGTTCTAACAGAGAACGGAAATTGCGACGTCGAAATCCGAAGGCACATTGTGATTGTGAATGATGCCTTCCAAAAGCTAAGGAAAGTATTAAGAAACATGAAAATTAACGGCTATATAATATCGGTCCTACTACATGGCACTCATTCTGGACAAGCTGAACAATTTCATCACAGATGAAGCAAAGAATTGAGACAATTAAAATGTGGTTCTACAGAAGGATGCTGAGAATACCATGAGGGAAGAGGGAAAACAAAAAAACAACATAAAGAGACAGTTGCCATTTCTAGGGTACATAACAAGGAAATAGAGATTAGGAAATATAGTGGAACACACCTACTAGTTAATAGACTCTCCCACCTGTAATAAATAGTAGTAAGAAAAGTCGCTCAGTGAGTTGGTCAGTCAGTCGACTGGCTGATCGGTTGAGCTCTCTTTCTTTGGGCGGGGAGGAACCCGAAGGAGGCTACCCCGAATGGCGGATTCTCTTTCGGGGAAGTAAACCGACCCTGAACCCGTTTATTCGGGTTCAATGGGCATATTTTTGGCCGAGACCACGGGCTCGGAGATCCCACGTTAAAAAGGCCTTGTGCCACATGACGCCCTCGTGGGTGGGGTGACTGAATATCGTTGGTCAGTCAGTCAGTCGACTGGCTGATCGGTTGAACTCTCTGCCTTCGGGCGAGGAGGAACCCGAAGGAGGCTACACCGAAGGGCGGACTCTCTTTCGGGGAGGTAAACCGACCCTGAACCTGTTTATTCGGGTTCAATGGGCATATTTTTGGCCGAGCCCACGGGCTCAAAGATCCCACGTTAAACCAGCCTTGTGCCACATGATGCCCTCGTGGGGGGTGACTAAATATCGTTGGTCAGTCAGTCGATATCGGACGACCGTTAGTCGGATACTAAAGTATCAGCGACCACAACTAGATTACTCTGCGTTATACCTATTATATCAAGTTCCTAACGTTTTGTACGTCGAACCTATTTTAGGACCGACTTAGTACAAATATAAGCCTCTACTGTTAAACCACTCCATAACAGGAAATTCGATACTCTTTCTAGACATATTAAAGGTAAGAATGACCCTGTCAACTGACGGCACCTTCAACTCTGAAATCCGCACACGGGTCAACATCACCACAGCAACATTGGCCAGACTGGAAAGCGTATGGAAGAACAACATCAGCTTCAAGATAAAGTTCAAGTTCTACAAATCGTTCGTCGTATCCATGTTCCTTTACGGGAGTGAAATTCGGACGCTCTTTTTTTTTTATTGTTGGATTTCCTGGTTGAGCCAGGAAAAAGGACCCAGATGTACGAGAAAAATGCTTGAGAAATCTCCTTCGCATCGGCGTAAAAAAGCAAGGACTATGTGCATGGTCAAAAGTTTCGTGGGTCGACAGGAACTTCTCCTTGCTACGATTAAGCACCGGGAGATGACAATGGTTTAGCCACGTCATTCAACACAAAAGCCTCTGCAAGACTATCATGCAACGTACTGTTGAAGGCGAACGCAAGCGGAAACAGCAACTCAAAAGATGATCACACAACATGAAAGATTAGGTGGACATGACAATGACGGAACTTCTGAGAGCCACCGACAAGAGGTCATCCTAGAGGAGGTTGTCTGTTTCTTCGATCCTTAGGTCCTCCCTACAATCGATGCAGTCAAGGGACTGATGACCATGATGATCATGATCATGATGTGAGGCGAAGGTCTTTAAAAATGTAATTCCCATTTTAATTAAATCTTAAAGTTCTAGTCAATAAGTTGTCATAGAAGTTCTACTTAACTCTAAAAAATCTGTATAAACATTTTCAGCAAAGAAAGACATCTATTTGCTCCAGTTCTTTTTGTGATTACGTTAAGTCCATTTGAATTCCCTACACTGGACATAGGCACATAGAGCTGACCCTGAATATTTGAATAATTTTCTAATGTTTATATTAAGGATAATAATAAAAATGAATTCAACAAAATTACTATTTTTCATTTGCTTAAATAATTCACTATGTTTTCCGATCCGTTCGTCTAATTTGGGGAAATGTGGGATGTCGTACGACAACAATGATTACTACGAACGCTGTAGCTTTTCTAAATTATCAATTCAATTTGACAAGACAAATATAAACTTTTTCAATAGAAAAGCGATGAATTTAAAAAATGTCGACAAAAGCATTGCTTATATATGGATTTTTTTAAAATTTGAATTAATAATAAATAACACAGATGAGATAGTTGTTAAAATATTGTTATAATTAAATATTTCCGCTTATATTACAAATGCCAGGTGTTAGTATTATATATATATATATATATATATATATATATATATATATATATATATATATATATATATAAATAAGTTTTTCGTGGTACAAAATTTAATAATAGATAGGAAAAGATAATAAGAAGGCATTTTTTTTTAAAAGCAAAAGCCAAAATAAAACTACCGGTTTCGTCCCAGGACTTATCAAGTTATTTATTCTGGGAATTTAAAAGCGTGTAAATTAATTTTAATTAACGAATGTAATTAAATGGGGAAAGAGAAAAAAAATTATGAATTTCAAGGGACTAGAGTCCAATAATATTCAGACCTAGCAAGCATTCCCTCTGTTTACAAAGGGAAGCCTCACGAGATCTGATATACAAGGACTCCAGGACCTTGAGGTGAAATGTGGAGTGGGACCTCGATAAAATAACCACTAAACTTTTCCCCATATTCCCTTCTATTTATCAAATGTTCAGCAATAGCAGAACCAGAACTGTTAGTCAATTGGCTATTCCTAGAGGACGGATTCAAAATCCTGGAGGGTAAATGCTGTTTTATTCTCGAATCCAAACGCATGGCATGCTAGCTATATAGCCTGGTTGTTTTGTTCTATTCATGTAAGATGGAGACGCAGACAAAATTTAGCCATAACTATTACTTACTAGTAATCCGTGAATTTTATTTTATTGTTGGATTCATTCTCAGGGAATCATCCCAAAAGATTACTGGAGAAACCTTACTGATGCGCCCGAGGATTTCTTCCAAGAAATATCAGTGGAATATTTTCGATGTTAACCACATATTTTTCTTTTATTTCTTGCCTTGAAGTCACAAGGCTATAACTTGTAGTGATATCCTACCGATTCGCACCGGTCGCGCGAATCGATTCTTAAAATTGCAAAATCTTAGCAAACTGGTTGTAAGATTATCTCAAAGTAATCTTATATATTAACATATCATAGCTAAAAATATAATTAGTACCATTGTTGTATGTTCTGCGGAGGCTGAAACAGTGTTTTCTTTGATGAACTGAATTCATTCAGACAAAAGATATCGTCTTGGAGTTAAAAATGTGGCAAATCTTCTAGAAATAAATTTGATATGTCTTCCATTGGATTTTTGGAACTGCAGCGACTCGGTTTGAATGTGGCTAAGAAACCATAACACAGCTGATACCACAAAAGTCAAAAAGCATCATAATTCTGAAAAAAGATATGATGAGAACAGAATTTCAATCCAGAAATACCTTAATAAATAAATGTTTTCTATTAAATTACTAGCAGTAGAGCCCGGCGTTGCCAGGGGATGTAACAGTAAGAGATAGATCAAGTATCGACCATCATAAAGACTGAAA